GGAGATAAGAATATAGATACTATGGGAGAGGTGTAGAAAAAGAGACACTTAGAGAGATTAGGGGCGGAATTGGAAAATAAGGGAAACAATTGGCGATAAAGAGATTGGAGAGGCAGGGAGACAACGAACGTGATTGCAACAGAGATACCGTACCGGATAAAAGGGGGGGGGGAGGGGGGCGATAATGATGAAGTGAGAAAGTGAAAAATAATAGGAGAGAAATAGAGGCATCGTGTTCAACAGCCAGAACAATGTGCTCCCCTTCAAGGTCAGTGTCACTCACGTGTCTTCCACTCCTAACACATCGATTAATTGTCTACTACGACCGTCTTGATAACTATTTTTGAACCCTCCCCATTTCTAACCTTCCCACCACACAACTAATCCTCCCACGAAGAAGACAAAAAAGGAAAGCCTCAAACAAGTGCAAACTCCGAGCATTGGAAGATCGAAAACAGACCCCTGTGAATATGATATAAGCCAGACGCTTGATTAATTTAGATTGGATAAAGACGGTTCAATATGGCGCTGCATTCCACATAATATATAATTCACGATACGAGCGCTGTCCCCGGGGTTGATTAAATTCTCATTGGCTATAACTGCCACGTCACCAGAAGGACGATAGACACACACAGTACACACAACACATTTCATACACATACAAATACACACACACACACACACACACACACACACACACACACACACACACACACACACACACACACACACACACACACAAACATACGTATATACACGAGTACGAGCAACGCGTATAGAGCTCAACCTTTAGTCCAAAAAATGAATGCTGCGCTATGAAATAGTGACGACCAATGACCCCCGCAAGAAATGGTAACGAAAACGTCTAAGGGTTCCTATCTACCAGTATGACTACAATGAGCTATTTTCGACATACTATTTCCAACGCCTTTTTTTTTTTTTTTTGGAGCCACTGTGTTATCTGGCTTGGGTATTGCGTTGACTCATTATGCAACATGCTAGACTGTGGTATGTGAAAGCTACGTGCGAATCACCAAGGAGAAGTTGTTACACCCCCTACCCCTACCCCTCGCCCGCCCCCATCCGGTCCCCACCCCTTCTCTTCGTCCCCAAACTTGATTCCCTACTATCGGGGGTCGGCTTTACGAGCGAGACTTTTTTTATTTCTTTTTAAAAATTATTTTGGATGCGAGTCTTACTGTACAAATGACATCCTCAAAAATGAAAAATGGAAACTAAAACATCTAGACTGATTCCTAACCACCTCTAAAAAGATCTTAATGGAATTAGATTATTATCTTTCTCAACTTAGCCAAAAAAAAAACGTTTCTTGAAAAACAGAAATCCAATTGTGGGTGGTTGGCGGGTGCTCTGGTGTGGTTTGCTCCTTCTTCCCTATCAAACATCTATCTCCCCTCCTTCTATTTTATTTTTGTTACTCTCTTGTAACACCTCTAATCTTCGGCATTTACATGACCTTATTATGTTTCAAGTGCCGTAAAACTCTTACTAAAATTTAAGTTAAGAAGATCAGTGGACTGTTCATTGTTAGACTCCGCCATACGTCACCTTTCAAAATGGCGTATGGTGGATTCTTACGCCAAGCATTCAAAGTGGAGTAAAAACTGCATGAAAATTTGACTGACCTTGACTGAGGAGTGAGTTCTGTCATGCTCCCGCTACAAGAGGAGAGCACACTGCTCGTGCTCCGAGACCTGAGTGAGTCTCCCCTGTTGACCAGGCCTTTGGGTGTTGTGATGAAAGACCTCAGAGGCTGCACGCTGATGACGTCAGCGGGTACCAGGAACATGCAAGGAGGAGGAGAAGAAAAGAACAGTCACAATAATAATGATAATAACGATAATAATAACATTAATATAATTAGAAATAACAAAAATAATAAAAATGATAAAATAATGATAATGATAGTAATAATAATGGTAACGATAATGATAATGATAATGATAGCAATATTATTATTATAAAATAATAATAATTTCTATTGCTCCCACTCCCGTAAAAAACAATTCTAAGCGCTTTACAAAACCTCCATCTCAACACAAAACACAAGTGCATGAACATGCATGCATGCGTCCGTTAGTGTACCGCTATCACATAATAAGCAGATATTCATACTATCACAGCACAATCGATGCCAATATGTACATCACATTAGGAATATAAGAGTGCTATGAATAAGAAAGACTAACCGTCGAGATGGAATATCATATTTTATGTTTTTAAACTAATCTGAAATTCTGCATCCATCCAACTTTGTATTGTATCCCTCAAATGTGGAAGAGAGTTCCATGGAGAAGGAGCAAGCTGAGTAAAGTACTTCCCCGCGAGTTTTTGATTTCCGTTCCAAGGCGTTCTCACAAGAGACTGATCTCCTGATCTTAGAGATGTTGGTGGACTTTGAGTGGGGGTGCTAAAATACCCGTGGGCTTTATTGTTATCACATTTACGACAAAGGACAGCAATCTTGTAGGTGAATCTAGATACTGTTGGTACCCAAAGGAATTTTCTTAAAATACGAATGACATCGTTATTTTTCCTCTTTTCAAACGTGATTCTCGCAGCTTGGTTAATGGTGTTAAGAGTATTATTCTGATGAGGGGAGAGGGAGAACGAAAAAAAAAAAGAAACCAAAAAAGTAGAAGAGCATGAGGGATAAAAGGATATAGATATGAAAACAGGAGATAACACAATAGGAGAAGAATAGGAAATGGAGAAAAACGGAAAAAAGAAGAGCAAGATTATGGCAAAACATTTCACATCAAAAGTATCAGCAGCAGAGTCTTAAGGCTAATCCTACTTTGGATATTATTTCGAGCATGGCCGCTGTTTCAAAACACAAGAGAGCACTGAACTCCTGAACACCTTTGACTACTTCGAGACATCTCATTATCTAAGCTCACTGTACGATAGTAATGTTTGAGCTCAATCATTTCCACTAACTGTTCCAATTAGAGATATTTCACAGCCCACTGGAAGTTGTTAACCTCTTCACTTATTATTGACCCGTCACTGAAAAAGCTCTTTTTGATGAGGTTATAAAATAGCTTAACAGAGAAGGGGTAAAAGAAGATTTTTCTATTTTTGCAGAAGAAAACATTTTACATTCTTTTTTAGTCTAACATTACGAAAAAAAGAGAAATATAGCAAACAGCGAAAAACAACCTGTACAAAATGAAGTGCTCGTTTATCGTTTGACTTGTTAAGCTAATTATTACACCAAAGACTACACCATAAATGATTGACTCTACTTGTTGCAATAACTATAATATATTATTATTAAGATTTAATACAAAATACTGAATTATTCTACTGCTTTGCTGGCCTGATTGGAAGAAATCAATAGTGTATTGTCATAAAATTCTGGGACACAAAATATACATATTATTTAGTATAATGTCAACACTTCATAATCTGATCTCTCTCTCTCTCTCTCTCTCTCTCTCTCTCTCTCTCTCTCTCTCTCTCTCTCTCTCTCTCTCTCTCGCTCTCGCTCTCTCTCCCTCTCTCTCTCTCTCTCGCTCTCTCTCTCTCTTCTGTCTCTCCCCCTCTCTCCCTGAAGCTGTCTGTGTGCGTGTATTGTTTCTTTGATTCTCTTGTCACAGAGTAATCTTTTGAATAAATTCACTGTAGGTAAGAACGATTGCCTTTATCCCTCTCGGCTCGTTCCAGGAGGATTGGACTTTAGTTACACTAGAAAATTATACTCTATGGAAAAGAGAATGTCGAGTTTTCTTTGTAACCCTGCAATTTTCTTGTTAAACTGGTTTCTCGGGGCATTATCAACATTAAATGGCGTTCCACATAAATTCTGGATTGTTGGGATATTCTTTTGTCGAATGTTATCAATCTTTTATAAATTTTTTTCATATTATTTCAACCCCAGGAGGTCAAAAAGGCTCCGGGGCGCTGCCAGTATAGTCTATCATGATTACTAAAATGATACGAATTATTGAGAAGCAAGTCGTTATAGAAATTACAGTCGTTCATATTGGCTGAAGCGTACATTTCAAGACAGATAACAGGGTACATCAACCAGTTGTATCCATATACAACGTCTTCAAGGACGATCCGAGTGACAACAATAGCACAAGGTAAGAGGATTGGTGGGTGGGGGGGGGGTGTTCTTTTTTTTTAGATTTGCGAACAATAACCTGTTATGGACGGAGTTCAGAAAGTTTCACGAAACTAATAAAATTTGCTTTAACTTCTGATTTACAACGTCAGCGCCATAGCATGAATCATAAATTGAACCGAGCAGGAACCCATAATGTGATATAGACCTCACACAGAGTGTAACGTTAGGGATTTTATAGGCTGATTCGTACCTATAAAAGAAAATTAAAAAATAAGTTGGGGACCTATTAAATGTGTTTTAGCAAGATATTGGTATATGAGATCCAGAAATTAACAGTCTTCCAAGAAAGTGGCCGTAAAGATTTTCACAAACCACGCCCACAATAATTTAGATCTCCGAAAATCTGTGAAAGAATTTTGATCTATCTCGTTTAAACACACCACCTCTATCTATCTATCTATCTATCTATCTATCTATCTATCTATCTATCTATCTATCTATCTATCTATCTATCTATCTAACTATCTATCTATCTATCTATCTATCTATCTTGCCCTAGGTGTCAGTATCCCCTATGGGCTGTATTTCATCATAGATTAAACAAGTACGGAAACCAGGACACCAAGCAGGAGGAGCTGCGTTGTGCCCCTTTGAAATCCGCCTTAGAACCCAATTCGCCATATGGCCCTCTTTGTTGTTTCCTAGTGACTGAGTTTTCAGGTGGAGACCTTTGTATTTCAGTCTGGATTCATAAACTTCATACACAGTGCAGTTACAATAATATACAAAGAAGCTTATGGTGACTTAGCTACCTCTCAATTGCCCGCAAAATACATCTATGTACCGGCATCTCTCAGAAAGAGAAAAGGGAAGGGAATTGGACACACCTCCAGAAAGTCGAAAGCAAACATCACCAATCAAGCTGCGAGATAAAATTCTCAAGGAAACAGAAAGAAAGAAGACCTCAAAGTACTTTGAAGAGGGGCTAGGACTCCGATCTAAAGGATATGGGATTCAGTTGGACAGAGGTGGAGATAATAATAATATAGTCCAGGACAAAAGTAAATGGAAAGCTCTTGGTGACTTGTTATCAAGAGTGGGGTAAAAATAAAAAAGGCCGATGATGATGATGATGACCGGCAGTAAGGCAGGGAGGCATCTCGTACGCTGAAGACCTGAGTTCGATTATGTTGTGAGCGGAGAATAATATTTATCGAGGATTTCGGTATTTCAGCTGGAGCGTTATATCTCAGCCCCCGTTTGTCCTGACAGGCAAGTCGAAGCCCACCTCCTTTCAAACATATTTTTAAAAAGAAACATAAGTATACAGAGGATTTTTTTCTTTGTTTATTTAAAGATTTACCGTCATCCATCAGGACTCAAGCTAATTTTTTAATTACATGGTAAGGAATGGTACTGATGGTACTGGTTTACATCCCAGTCAGTGCAGAAAGGTTGATAAGAGATAAATCCTCCAATTCAATGACCGTCTCCTTTTGTATTGAGCACAGTTTCCGAATATCTAAAGTTCTTCGCAAAGTGGTTTTTAGTTCCTGGTGAGTTCAGCTCTCCCAGCAAAAGAAGAGATCAGATCAACCTCAGAACAGGTACTGATTACCCGCCCCTCACCCCCCCCCACCACAGATTTTTGAGGGTGTCGAGAGCCGATCCACATCCCTCTGCCCGGCCACACCCACCCTCCCCACCCACATCCCTCACCACACTAACCGCCACCCACCATCTCTAACATCCTCTCCCCCTACCTCTCCCCCCCCCCCCAAAAAAAAAAACAACCTTGCTCCCCTCCCCACCTCCCTCCCCAAAACGTTTCTTTCCAGCACTGCGCCGCATTGCAAAAACAACGAGCAGAGAAAGGAAGTGCCGGCAAACACCCACCTTCCCTCGGGCTCCTCAATACTGCTCAGGTCCCCAGCCCCCGATCTCATGACGTGGTTCCTGCCCGGCAGACTTGTGGTCCTCGGCCTCATCGCGTGCTCATGGACGTCCTCCATGGAGCTCTCCGCGTGACTGGACACCGCCACCCATTGATATATATTGCCGTGTCTAACTAGAGGCACCCACCTACAGTCGGGCTCCAGATTGGGTGAGAGGTAACGCATCCCTGGACGCGTCAGCGTGTTCCTGGTGGGGAGGCTGGTGGTTCGAGGTCGCATCTCGTCCAAGTCGATGTTCTCCAGTTGGCGACGTCTGGGCTTTTTCAACGAAGACGAGCGCTGTTTGGGGCGTGGGCTCACGTACAGAGCGGCCATCTTGCGGGTCAGGTGGCGGCAACTCCTCGGAGATTCGGCCCCGCTTGGCTCTGTGGAGATTGTAGATAGTTAAAATTGTAAATAATTTCCTAGTTGTGGCTGCAATTTTTTTTTTTTAAATTTTTTTTTTGTTATCGTTGTTGTTGTTGTTATTGTTGTTGCTGCTGTTGCACCGGCTGCTGCTGTTGTTATTGTTGTTGTTACTGCTGCTGCTGCTGCTGTTATTGTTTTGTTTTTGTTGTTGTTGTTGTTGTTGTTGTTGTTGTTGTTGTTGTTATCGTTACGGTGGTAGTGGTGAAGTTGATTGTGGTGACGGTAGTGAAGATAGTAGGAGTCATTTTGTTGTTATCTCTCTCTCTCTCTCTATATATATATATATATATATATATATATATATAGAGAGAGAGAGAGAGAGAGAGAGAGAGAGAGAGAGAGAGAGAGAGAGAGAGAGAGATGGAAAGAGAGAACGAGGGGGAGGAGGAAGAGAGAAGGGGAAAAGGAGGGAGATAGAGAAAAGAAGGAGAGGGAAATATACAATGAGAGAGAGAGAGAGAGAGAGAGAGAGAGAGAGAGAGAGAGAGAGAGAGAGAGAGAGAGAGAGGAAGAGGGAGAGAAAGAGGAAGAGAGAGGGGGGAGTGAGAACAATTGGAGGAAAATTAAAGAAGGAAAGAGAATAAGCAGTCGGTAGCAGAGAGAGAGGTGGTTTGCTATCGAATATTGTTTGTCTTTCTAAATCCCAAAAGAATTTAATGCGGTTCATAAGACAAAGAATTGATGATGAAGACAAAGTCA